TAGCGTTAATCCAGTTTGACTGAACTACATTTGTAACAACCCTTTGCTTTCTTCCATCCAGCCACTCTTCTATCCAATTTGATAAATTATCCTCCACACCTATAGAAATAATTTTTACAAGACTTTCATGTGGCACCTTGTCAAATGCTTTCTGAAAATCCAGATACACCAAGTCTACACCATTACTCTAATCTAATTAAGCAGTAACTTTTTCAAAGAATGTCAAAAGATTTGTAAGGCAAGATTTTCCCTTAGTGAAACCTTGTTGACTATCCAATAAAATTATAAACTTTTTTTAAATGACTTTGCAAAACATCTTTTAACAAACTTTCCAAAACTTTTCCCACAACTGATGTAAGACTAATGGGTCTTTAATTACTGGGATAATCTTTATCACCTCCCTTGAAAAGAGGAGTTACATTAACTAATTTCCAATCCTCTAGTATCTGCCCACTATTTAAGGACTTTCAAAAAACAGTGGTTTTGGAGGATAAAAGGCTGGTCAAACTAAAAATTAGAAAATCAAAAAAAATTACAAGAAGAAAGGTTGGTTGAAAATGTAAAAATATGTAGTAAAGAGTTCTTTAAATACATTAAAAGTAAGCAAAATGTTGGAATGTAAGTAAGCACTTTGAGGGATGATACTGGAAAGCTAGTATCTGATGATTATGGGATTGCTGGGTTATTAAATTCTACTTTTTCTTCAGTTTTTACTAATGACGATTTAAGCCATATTCCTCACCCTGAATTTGTTAGATAGAAAGAAGATTGAATAAGCTGGTCACATTAATTCTGAATGTATTAAAAAAAAAAATGGGAAGTTTCAAGAGGATAAAGATTCCTGTCCAGATAATATTTACCAAGGGTTTTTAAATATGTTAACGATTGGATATGTGAGCCACTTGCTATTTTTTTTCAAGTCCTTGAATAGTGAGCAGGTGCCAGAAGACTGAAAGTTGTTGGCTAATATTACTCATCTTTTCAAGGGAGGAGACAAAAAATTGTCCCAGTGATTATAGGTCCATTAGTTTTACATCAATTGTGGGAAAAGTTTTTGAAAGTCTGAAAGATACTTTGCAAAATCACTTAAAAAAAGTTCAAAATTTTGTTGAATAATCAGTATGGTTTCACTAGGGGAAAATTTTTGAAAAGGTTACTGCTTATGTAGATGAGGGTGTGGGAGCAGATGTGGCATATTTGGATTTTCAGAAAGCATTTGACAAGGTGCTACATAAATGGCTTGTTAAAAAGTTCTCTATATGTGTGGGAGATAGGTTGGTTCATTGAATGGAAAACTGGTTAAATGGAAAAAGCTGAGAGATGTCATAATTGAAGTTCCATCAGACTGGATTAATGCCATGAATGGCTCAGTGTTAGGATCTTTGTTCTGTTTGATTTACATTAATAACATTGAGGGAATGGTCAATAGATTAAATAACTTTGGTGATGATGTTAAAGTTTTGGGTGTTCTGGCTGTGTGGATGACACTACTGCATCAAAAAAGGATTTGGATTATTTAGTGAGTTTGGAAAATAATTGGCAGATGGCTTTTAATTATAATAATTTTGTTCGGAATAATCTTAACAGTGTTATAGAAGAAAAAAGATATTGGTATTCCTTTTATTTTTCCAAGCAATGTGCTGTTTCAAGTGGCAGGGCAAATATTATTTTAGGTTATATCTACAGGAACATTGAATACACATCTAAATAGGTAATAATGTCATTTGAATAGGCCAGATTTGGAGTATTATGTTCAGCATTGAGATCTTTACCTCGTAGAGAACATTGGAGGCTCAGAGGAGGGCTACTAGTTGATGCCTGAGATGGAAAGATTATCATATGAGGATAGGTTAAGATATCTGAACTTGTTTTCTCTTAAGAAAGGAAGAATTGAATGAGATTTGATTGAGGTGTTTATGATTGTAAAGGGAATTGATAATGTTGATGCATCAATTTAAAAAAAAATTCATATCTAATGGTGAGAATGATAAGACTAGGGGACACATATTTTGGCAGGGAAGGAATCAGTTTCAACTTATGATGGCTTTATTTTTCTAGCAGGTTGGTTGGCTTTTGGAATGGGTTGCCTATGGATGTGGTGGATGTAGTTAATTTAAGGAAGTTTAAGGGAAAAGTTAATAAGTTTTTGAATAATAAGAGCTGGTTTTGAGCTTTTTGCTATTTTAAGGATTTGATTTAGTTCATAGGACAGCCCAGATTAACTAAAAGGCTTCTTTTTAATGTTATGTTATGTAAAATCTACATACTATCTGAAACACCAACTGCACTTCCCTCAGTTATTCTTTGGTCACTTTAAAGAACCAGTTTCTTACTAGGGTGTTGTTGTTGCATTATTACTACCACCTGGTGTCCAGTTTGAGCATCTGTTAGATCTAGTCATTGTGTAGAGGGATAAGTTTTAAGCAGCTTTCCATGTCTTCATCTTGTTTTCAAACAATTTTTAAAGTTATTTCTTTCAATCTCTACCATGATGATCCAACAGAGTATGGAAGAATACCAAATGCCATAGTTTTGTATTAGAGACTCTCTGTGAAATATCGGACCATGTAGATAGTCCCATAAACATTTTAGAAAGCTTATTGTGGTTTGATGGTACAACAGTTATTCCCTGAATTACGTAATTACTTGTTGGTTTATGCAACAATCCATTGAAAGCTGTTGGATTTGTGACAACACTATATCTAGGATTATGTTACTGCCATTATGTTAAAAAGAATAAAATGATAATATGCTTTTAAAATATGAAAAATGAAAGCTTCTGCAAGGATGTACTTTAGTGATTTGAACATGTATTTCATTTGGCATCCTGAACAAAATGCATGCATAATCTAGTTAATTATGACAGCAGTGTGACCACTGCTAAAAAGTTTGGAACAAAACATCTGTAATAGGTCATGAACTTGAGAAATTGTTAAAACCTTTTTCTCTGCCAACAGTGTACCCAACAGTCTCTTAATTGAATCTGTATCACTTGACTAAACAGGGCTAATTTCTGAACATGACAACTTAGAGCTACCCATTAAAGTTTAACTTCAAGTGTAATATTTCAAGCTTTGTATCTGCATTTAGATAGTAGTGGACCATTAAATAAAGCTAAAATGCTGAATTGCTAACAGTAAAAATTTAAATAGAATTGTAAAGTTGGTGAACATTAATTTGTCAGTGAATGATTTGGATAGAAAAATTTGTGAATGATATTAACCTTGGACGTTTTTCATTATGCTTGAACAGTATTATCATAAAGAGAGTCTAAACTAAAAATTTGTACTTAAAGTAATCTTTCTCACAAAACCTTGCACTAAAAAAAAATAGTTTTTCTGTATTAAGTGTTTTTTGAGATTTTTCAATTAAAGAAGCTTGTCAAGAAACTTCAATTTTCTAGTATATGTTAAAAAAAACTTTATACTTTACTTTTGTTTTTAATTACACATTACTGGAAACTTGTTAATTTAATTGATTATATTTTGGATTTTTTTTTTAATATTTAGGTGTGTTGATCCAGACATGGATGTTAAATTTTTTCCGCTTACACAAAATAAATAAAGTGGAGCAGTTCATCATGGCATATGGAGGTCTTCGTGGTGCAGTGGCATTTGCTCTAGTGCTTGTTGTCTCAGAGAAATACATCCCTTCCAAAAGCATGATGGTTACCACAATTATAGTAGTAGTGTACTTCACAGTTTTTCTTCAGGTAGAGCCACAGTCCTATAAACTTAAGTTCTGAGGATAGATAAATCAAGTATAATAAGCATTTTTCATTTGTTTAAGTAAAAAACATTTGTTATGTAAGCATGAAAAAATCATTCTTTGAAAATCTACTAACATTCTACAAAAGTTACCCATTGAAACTGACATATAATTGTATTGTAACTATTGCTCTCAAATGTAATTAGTTATGATATTTCATCTTTATCTTTCCAGGGAATGACAATTGGACCACTAGTGAGGTTCTTAAATGTTGCTACAAGTAATAAAACCAAACCTTCTATGAATGAAAGGTTACATACCAGGGTAAGAGCAAATTTTTTCTAAAGAATATGTTTTGGAATGTGGTTCTAGATCATACAGTTTAAAAACGATAAAAAAACACAAATAGATGTCTTGTTCTTGATTAATTGGAAATTATTAAAAATCACAAATTAGCTGATAGTTCTAATCATGTTTTAAGCTAAAGTTATAATAATTATGAACAATATTTAGGGAGTACATTACATTTGTTATAAAACTTTCTACACTTCAAAACAACAAAGTACAACTGAATTCAGTTTTTGTGTTGTTGAAAATTGTTTTAATAACATTTACTTAATTTAATATCTTTTCTATGATTAATTACTAAGCATTTTTATTAGCTTGCAGTACATCAAAAAATACATTTTATGTTCTTCCCAGTTGATAGACCATCTAATGGCAGGAATTGAAGATATTGCTGGTCACTTGATTGGGAACTATCATCTACGTGATAAGTATGTTACCAATTAATATATATCACTGCTAATAACATTTGATATTCACCCTGTGTGAGACAATAATTTTTATACATATTTTAGGCATATTGCACACTTTATTTGTGGACTAAAACCCTAAAGCAGTAAACATTAAAGGTGAATAGGGATGTTTTACATGATTAAATAGTACTGATAATTATTATTGTTTAATAAAAATATATCTTTCTGTACCAATATATTTAATTAGTGTTATAAGAGAAAATAGTTTTATTAATCCTTACAATGATTCTAATTTGTGAATGACTTAAAATTGATAATAATTACAATCTACTTGCTTGGTCTGGTTCAAACCATAATAGTTATTTTTTGAGGAGTTGATATTATGAATGTTACCTAGATGACTGCTTGCTATGTCTATCATATCCCAACTGGCTTGTTGAGCCTTGGTATAGAGCAATAGGTCTTGTCGGCAATGGATATGGCAGATGTAGTGTTGTTGACATAAAATTACATATTCCACTTTGCTTTCACTTGTAATTTCTTAAAATGTGATAAATGATTTAACCAATATGTTTAATCATCTATTATATATGTTAAAAAGGTGAATGAACTAATGAAAATATATTGATTAATATTAGTATAAAACTGCCAGTATAATCCTCCAAACATTTGCAATGAGAATTTAATAAGAATAAATGTTAGATTTACCTTTTTTATGGTAGAACCCACATTAATTCATTATAGCATTCATCTCTGTTACAAACAAGCATATTTATTTTTTTCGTATTTGTTAGTTTTTTCCTAACAAGTCTTATCTTGCTGCTTGCCAGATTCAAGCACTATAACAACAAGTTCATCCGACCACTCCTGACACGTGATCATCATGTCAAGGAACCAAAGATTTTTGAGACGTATTCCAAACTAAACCTAACAGATGCAATGAACCTTGTGAAACAGAACAACATTATGGGATCTGTAACTAGAATTGATCAAAAAATCTCTCTCTCTAGCCTAATAAGATCATATACCCAAAGTAATTTGCCAAGGTAACTAATTAACAAGATATGAAAGTGTGTAATAATACTATTTAAAAATTGTATCAAAAAATAAATCATTCATGTCTTTTTGTTAGCTTTTCTAAAACTCTTAGGTAAAAAGACATTAATGTATTCTAATAATTTTTACATGATAATTTTTTTGTTCTCATTGTTCAAATTGTACATTTTAAATTTCTCTTAGTTTTTTTATGCAAGTTTTTTCATGTCATGTCCATTTTATTGAGCAACAGATTCCAGCCCTTGGCTTGTGTAGATGAGGAACTAATGGAAAGAAGGAAAACAAAAGGGTCAGAAAAGGATGTGAATGATGAACTTAAGGATATTATAGCTATAGGTGATTCCTTGATAAGGCATGTGGATAGGATAGTCTGTGGGGTAAATAGGGTGAAAAGAATTAGATTATGCTACCCAGGGGCACAGGTGGATAATTTAACTGACAGAGCAAGAGATATAGCAACAGCTAGTTCAGTTTTTGTTGTGCATGTCGGGGCTAATTAAGTATGGAAGGGTAGGTCAGAGGAGCTAATTAATAAGTACAAGGGGGTGATAAAGGTATTTAAAGAAAAGGCCATAACTTAATTGTGTCAGGGATACTGCACAATTAATTCTTGGGGGACGAAATTATCAGTAGGTCACTAGGGCTGAATGGTAGGCTTAGGTTAATATGTAAAAATAAGCAGATTGGCTGGTTGGACTTATTGGATCAGTTCAGTGAAAGTAAGGAGCTTTTCGGAATGGATGGTTTGCATTTAAATAGAGTAAGGTGTGACTTGTTTGCAAAGGCTATTAACTCAGCTGTAAGGGAACTTTTAAACTAAGACTAGACAGTGGTGAGGGTCAGGATATACTAAATGGGGGGGGGGGGCAATGTAGAGAAAAGTCTAGCATAGGCTTAATTTTTACTATTGTACATCTAGAAGTATAAGAAATAAAGTAGATGACTTTAGGGCACTGGCAGGAATGGAGGATTTTGATATAATGGGAATAACTGAAACATGGTTAAATGTAGATAATTTTTATGGCAGAAATTTCTTTGAAATACAGGGTTATAGGATATTTAATAGGGATAGAGTTCCCGAAGAGGGGAAGGGGTGGCTTTATATATAAAATGTGAGTTACATCCTATTGAAGTTGAGGATATCAAAAATAATAACAAGGAGATTGAATCAATTTGGGTTTCTATTAGTGGATATAAAGGGAATAGGCTTTTAGTGAGAATTTGTTACAGACCACCAGATGATATTGATGAAACTAGTGAGAAACTTTACAGTGAGATTATGATTTCAGCTGTTATTGAGGTCATAATTATGAAACATTTTAATTCCAGGCATTTGATTTGGAAATACTAAAGTCGAACCATGAGGGAGAAAGATTTTTGGAAATTGTTTGAGATGGTTTTCTTTGCCAATTAGTCAAGGAACCCACTAGAAACAATGCTGTTTTAGATTTATGGTTAACTTGTAAATTGAAGAACATTTAGGTGCAGGTGATCATTGCTCTATTAGGTTTGATGTTTTGCTGCATATGGAGATAAGGAACAATATTTTGGTTACAAATTTCAAAAAATTAATTTTGAAGGGATGCGTCAAGAATTACCTGCTGTGAATTGGGCAACTTTGGAGACACTGATCAAATGTGGAAAATTTTTAAATATTCAAGATAAACATATTCCTTATAGAAAAAAAAAAAGGGTAGCTGCATGTAAAAATCCAGGTTGGCTCACAAAGGATATGAAAGATAAAATTAAAGAAAAGCATTACAAATTTTAGAAATTTAAATTGACTGGTATGGTGGGAGATTTAGATAATGGAAGGAAAAGAAAGTTGGTCAAACAGGAAATTTAGGACATCAAAAAAGATGTATGAAGAAAAGGTTGGCTGAAAAGCTTAAAAATTAACAGTAAGGATTTCTTTAAATACATTAAGGTTAAACAAAATGTGTCTGATGATTATGAGATGGCTAGGTTATTAAATTCTACTTTTTTTTCAGTTTTTTACAAATGAAGATTTAAGCAGCATTTTCATCTTGAACAGTTGATAGATGGAAACAGGGTTGAACAAGATGATTGCATTAATTCTGAGCTTGTTAAGAAACAATTGGGTAGTTTAAAGAATGATAAGGCTTCTGGGCCATGTATGTCTCCAAGGGTTTTGAAAGAGGTTACGGATTGGATACATGAACCACTTGCTACTGAATTCTTGAATAGTGAGCAGGTGCCAAAGGATTGGAAGACAGCTAATGTCACTCCTCTTTTCAAGGGAGGTAATAAAAGTTGTCCCGGTAACTATAGGTCTATTAGTCTTACATCAGTTGGGGAAAAAGTTTTGGAAAATCTGATAAAAGATGCTTTGCAAAGTCATTTATTAACAAAGCTTAGAATTTTATTATATAATCAACATGGTTTCACTAAGGGAAAATCTTGCTTTGCAAATCTTTTGATATTCTTTGAAAAGGTTACTGATCATCTAGATGAGGGTAAGGGTGTAGATTTGGTGTATCTGAATTTTTAGAAAGCATTTGACAAGGTTACACATAAAATACTTGTAAAAATAATTATATCTATTGGTGTGGGGAAGAAGTTAACTAATTGGGATAGAAGATATAGATATAGAGCAAATAGTATTTTAGGTTGTATCTACAGAACTTGTATTGAATACAAGTCTAAAGAGGTTTTGCAGTAGTCCCTGAAAAGCATTACAACAGACAACTGACCAATCTGCCATTATAAGAAAGAAGTTGTACACAACAGGAATTCGTAATGCAAAGGATCAATAATCAGATAACAAATAACAGAGTTCAAGCTGTGCCAGTCACTATTGCCAAGGCTTGAGCATAATGGTTTATATACTGTATAGGTAATCAGATGACATACTAAATTGGTATGATATTTATAATTGTTATGATGGATGACAGTTCAATAAAGACAACTCAAAATTGTTTTGTTTGTGTCTTATGTAAAATAATTTATTCACCAATGACATTTATTTCATAAAACATGCATGTATCATATTTTTTTATTTCATACATGTAAAATATGATAAATTGATACCAAATTTATTTCATTAAAAAAATCGTCCATCTTTGTTTCTTTTGCACATGTAACAGGGTTCTTCACATATATCGATAAATGTTTTGCTGTTCATTTTCAGTGTGCAAAAGTGAGGTCAGCTTTATCAGTTTTGTTTTTCTAGAGACATTGTAAGACAGAATCTATCTTTGTTAAAAACGTGATTTATTCTTCGGTACATGTCATATTTATACAGCAAGCCATAGATTAGCAACTCATTCTGAAAATTACCTACTTTATGCATCATCTGACATCTAAAGAAAGCACTTATTTTGACTGCTGATTTGCAGATGAGAGTTTTCCAGCTTGTTTCATGGTCTCATGTGTGGTGTGTCATCTAATCACTCGTCTGTTGTGGACACCAACAAATTATAGTTGAATCATCACTGATAGTACATACTTGTATATGTAAAATCAAACAAATGAACACACAATAAACACATGTATACATTTTTCTTGAAATGAAAAAAAGTCATTATCTGACCTTCTGCCCAAAAATCTTGGTCGTATGTCGCATCTGTCAGGAAGCTGTTCGTGGGAGGTCAGATCAATGTAAAATTGTCCTATGCACAGAAAAAAAGTAGTATCTAAAAGGAAGTCATTATTGGGAGGGGTTGTATTCACCAGGGAATACTTTAATTTCATTGTATAGGTTGCTGTTTGGGCTACATTTGGAATATTTTATTTAGTCTTGGGCTTCTTACCTTAGGAAGGACATTGAATTATTAGAAAGAGCTCAGAGAAGGGTTACTGGAATGGTGCTTGGGATGGAGAGGTTGTCATATGAGGAGAGATTAAGAACTCTGAAATTGTTTTCTCTTGAAAAATGAAGACTTGGGGGAGGGGGAAACTGAATGAGGTGTGTAAGATTGTAAGGGGAATTGATAGTGTTGATGCATCATCATTTTTCATACTTAACAACAAGAATAGTAGGATTAGGGATCAAAAATATAAATTTTGGCAAGGTAGGAATAATTTTCAGCTAAGACAGTTGTGTTATTTTTTTAACAGAGTGGTTAGTCTCTGCAATGGGTTGCCTTCAGATTTTGTGGAGGCAGTAAATTTAAGTGAGTTTAAGAGGGAGCTTGATAACTATATGAATGATAAGGGATTGCTTTAAGATTTTTTAAATTTATTTATTTAATAGTTTTAGTTTGGAGGATGGGACACCCAAGGTGGACCAATAGGTCCCTTGTTGTCCCTAAACATAGTTATGTTATATTAAAGTGAAATTTTGAAGCAGGTTTGTTATATCTGTCTTATGTTGAAAGCTAAATTTCAAATATTTCTTGTATATATATTATTTATTTTTATATGCGAACAGGTACTCGGATGGATCAGTTCTAAGTTCACAGGGTGTTACATCTCAGAGTGAGTCAAGTTTTGTAAACTTGGACATGGGTGAGCTTGCATACTCACCGAGCTATAAGGACCTAGCTGATGCACAACTCCACCATATTTTGTCTGATTCTATGTTTAAACCACCTCGAAGGGTAAGATAATCTATTTAAATGTTTTTATTGGAGGCTTAGTATACTAGAAAAGAATACAGATCATTTATTTTATTATTTTTTTCATACTTGGAATAATTTTTCAGAGTTAGGGTTAGAAATAATGGATTTAATTGCAGTAGTAGATTCTATTAAGTAACAGATTTCAGCTTTTAGTTTGTGCAGGTGATAAAATAGGTGAGGGAAGGAAAAAAAGGGGGGCAGATAAGGATAGGAATGAATAATAGGAGAATTTGTTAGCATGATACATGTGTAGGATAGTTTATAGGGTAAATAGGTAGAAAATATTTAGTTTATGCTATCCATGGGTAAGGGTGGAGAATATATCTGACAGAGCAAATGATATAGTAAGGGGTGCTAGCAATGATGTAGTTTTTCTAATGCATGTAACTGCTAATGATGTATGGATACCACTGAAACGTAATTGTGGGGATGAAATTAAAAATAAGGGCTGAATGCTAGGCTTGGGTTACTATATATGTATAAGGAGATTGGCTGGTTGGACTTGTGGGATCAGTATAATGGGAAAAGAGTTTTTTAAATAGAGTAAGGGCTGGCTTGTTTGCTTAAGTGCTATTAACTCAACTCTAAGGTCAGCTTTAAACTAGGCTAAACAGTGTTGAAGGCCAAAATAATAATAAAAAAATATGCAGAGAAAAGTATAGTGTAAAAACAGTGTGCAGATAGGTTGAACTGTTATCATTGTAATGCTAGAAGTATAAGAAGTAAGATGGATGACTTTTTTCTTTTTTTGTCAAAATATAGAATTTGATGTAATGGGAATAACTGAAACCTGGTTAAGTTTAGATAATTTGACAGGAAGTTTTTTAAAATATAGTTACAGGTTATTTAATAGGGATAAAATACTAAAAAGAGGGGGAGGAATGGCTTTTTATTAAAATGTAAGTTATATCTGTTGAAGTTGAGGATATCAAAGCTAATAACAATGAGGATGAATTTATTTAGGTTTCTGTTAATGGTTATAAGGGGAGAAGATTTTTAGATAGATTTTGTTACAGACCAGCACCACCACCAGGTGTAATTAATGAAATTAATGAGAAACTCTATGGTGAGATTAAGATTTTAGCAATTAATGAGGTTATAATTATTAGGAGATTTTAATTTAAGGCATTTAGATTATGAAATGTTAGAAATCATGAAGGAGACAGATTTTTAAAAATTATTCAGGATAGATAGTGTTCTTCACCAAATGGATGGGGAACCTTCTAAGAACAGTGCTATTTTAGATTTATTTTCAACTTCTAACAAAGAAATGAGTGATCATTTCTCACTTAGGTTTGATGTTTTTCTGCATTTGGAGATAAGGTATGAAATTTTGGTTCCAAATATAAAAAAGAAAAGAAAAAAATATGAGCTTGTTCAGAAACAATTAGGAAAAGTAAAGAAGGATTAAACCAGATAGTATTTCCCTACGGATTTTGAAGAAGGATAAGGATTGGATATATGAGCAGCCACTTGCTTTTGTTTCTTGAATTACTAATCTTTATTGAGATTATTGCTTATGTAAATGAAAGGTGTGGATTTGTTGCATTTATATTTTCAGAAAGTGTGTGACATGGTACCACGTAAAAAGCTTGTTAAAAATTATCTCTCTAGGTATGGGGGGATAGGTTGGTTCCTTGGAAAAGAAACAGGCTAGATGAAAGAAAGCAGGAGATTGTTATAAATGGAGTTCAGTCAAACTACATTAATTTCACAAGCAGGGTACCTCAGACTTAAGTGTTTGGATCTTTTCTTTTTTTTAACTTGCATCAATGACATGGATGAAGGAATGGCCAATAAATTATGTTGCTGGTTGTAAAGATCTGGATAATTTAGTAAGTTTGGCAAATGGACTTTAATTATAATAAATGCAAGGTTATGCATGTGGAATATCACAATTTGAATCATGAGTATATTTTTGATGGAAATAATCTTAACAGCGTTATGGAAGAAAAGGATCCTGGTGTTGTATTTGATCAATTTCTTGAACCTTCCAAGCAGCATGCTGTTGCTAATGGAGGATTGTAGGTTGTATCTAGAGAAATATTGAAAACAAGTCTAGAGAGGTTATTATTTCATTGTATAGGTCATTTGTTAGACCACATTCAGAGTATTTTGTTCAATCTTGTGTGTCTTACCTTAGAAAGGACATTGAATTGTTGGAAAGGGTTTAGAGAACGGCTACTAGGATGATATCTAGAATGGAAAGGTTGTCAAATGAGGACAGGATGAAATCTCTGAAATTGCTTTCTCTGGAAAAAAGAAGAGCGAGAGGGGATCTGATTGAGATGTTTAAGATTGTTAAGGCAATTAGTAGTGTTCATGCATTATCTTTTTTATACTTAATGGTGAGGATGGTGGTACTAAGAGACTTAAAGATAAATTTTGTCAGAGTAGGAAGCATCTTCAGCCAAGACAACTTTATTTTTCTGATAGGGTGGTTGGCCTTTGGAATGGGTTGACTTCAAATATAGTAGATGCAGTTGATTTAAGGGAGTGTAAAAGAAAGCTTGATAAATATTTGATAAGGGCTACCTCTGATTGCTTTATTTTTCTCTAAGAATTTAGTTTAGTGGATGGTATGGTCTAGATGGGCTAACAAGTCTCTTGGTGTTCTCAGTTTAATCTGGATAGTAAAAATAACTTATTTTATAACAAGTTGCAGCTCTTTCAGTAAGGAAGAATATTTTTAAAACAGGTACGACATTTGGATAACTGAAGCAATCATTCTCAGAGTTGGACGTTTGGCACATAAATTATAAGAACAAAACTCAACTACTACTGTAGTTATAATTGATAGTTCCATTTTGAGTTTAGTAACTGATGATTATAAGTATCATTTTATTAGATTATCAAGTACTCTGGCCACTCTTTTCTTACATCGCATAAAACAACATACCATAGTCACTTCCTTATATAAGCCCACATTTTTGTAAATATGTAGATGACGGTTTTTTGGCTTAATTTATCAACATGAACAAAGTTCCTTCAACATGTAAACAGCCTACACAAAGACATAATTGACAGTTAAAGATAAAAATGGCTACACAATAAATTTCCTAAACGTTAACATCACGCAAACCTCCCTATTGAGAAGTTTAATGGGAAGTCAGATTTTAGTGTCTTAAAGTTTGATAACAGTTCAGAAAGACATTTGATATATATCAAGTACTTTATAATAAATGGGTGTGACAGTGGCAAGTTTACAGACTAACTATGCTAACATCCGAGGTTTGAGTCCCCATGGTTGATACAGCAGATAGCCAAGTGTGGCTTTGCTCTAAAACAAAATAAATGTAGAATTTGCTATCTCGCACATTAAACTACAAGTAGTCATCTGAAATCCGTAAACAACGGAGAAGTTAGTCTAATTTCCATATCATGAATCCTACAAAAGCCTAGTAAGCTTAATGTTACCTTTAAACCACAAGTCTCATAAAAAAAGGATCCACTTACACTATAAAGAGATATGAGAGTTTGTTTATTACAAACCCCAAAACAAACTGAAATTGAAGAATATGATTTTAAGTTTAACCTTTCTAAAAAGGGGCAAAAAAAGTTGATACCAACCTTTGTAAAAGTAAAACTGAACCTCCAGTTTAACAGAAAAATCAAAAGTATAATAGAAAAAACTCAAAGAAAAGTTGTAGAAAAAAAAACTACAAAGGAAAAATACAGAAAACTCAAATTTCTCCACAAAAAATGAACTTCACCTCCATAGCAATCTTGCACACAATCCACTTGTTTTAAAATAATATATTCAAAACAAGTCAAACATATGTATAAAAAAATTCATCACACTATTGGTTATCACAGTTGTATTGAGAGCTTTAAATAATTGTTTCCGTTTCATCAAAGTTCACACAGGGTGGGTTCAATTACTTCAGAACATCCTTTAACTTACTTTAGAAATTGCCCATTATGCTAAACTGACATACAGTTTAACGTCACTTTTACTTTCACTTGCTCTAATTCAGGCTTAGAACTTTCTTCAAACTATGATGTAACAATACTCACTTAAAGTAATGAGAAAAATTCAGAAGTTCGAGTAACATGACGTCACTTCACAACAATTGAACTACGCCAACAAATGATTTGTAAACTGTTACCTAAACAAACTGGCCATAACTATCACTTCTAAAAATAACTTACTTTATTGCTCACAAAATATAAACTAAATAATACTCTCATATCACATTTAAAATTAATAGGCATCTATATATAACATTTATTGATAAAACCTGTGTACTTGAGAGTGATCACATCAGTGATCTAAATGTCGTGCATGTTTTAAAAATATTCTTCCTTACTGTAAACATTGTAACTTGTAATAAAATAGTATTTATAATTAGCAAGTAAACTCAATTAAAGTATTAAAAACTTGTTGAAAACTGCTTGGTCTATTAAAAATTGCATTTTTAATTATAAGTAGTAAATGTTTGCTACCATGTTCTTCTACACAACCACCCTCAGCAGCATAGCGATATGTTTGAAGGCTTATGTTGCTAAAAACTGGGTTTTTATACCAATGGTGGCTACAGCTCAGATAGCCCATTGTATAGCTTTATGCTGAACTACAAATAAACAAACAAACTTTTACACAGTTGTTAGGCACGTCTCAGAGTAATGGTATTGTTATGTCTCCAATCCGTTAGTTGATTTTCCGTAACTTCGTTCCCACGAAACTTTAGCGACACAAGTCCTTTTTTAATAAAACTGGTTTATTCTTTCCGAATACAACTTTACGATACACTCAACTTCAACAGTCGCGCTATAACAAACTATAATAACGGCGTTAACTTCAACAATACTTTCTGACTGCAGTTCAATTACTCATTACCTACACACATTGTCCCGTCACGTTGTGACCATCTTGTATATA